TTCGAAAATGTAAGAATGTAAAAAAATTGGGGAACCAACATGTGTTTGGCCGCAGTGAAATCATTGGTTGTTTCCACCCTTCCCACATTCCTGAAATCGCTGCACAATCAAAACCCTGCAACTGAGAGTCGCAAAGCTTCTAAAAAGGTCGGAAAGGAAACTGGCCAAAAATGCAAGTTGTTTCACCTGCACAGCCCTAAACAACAATAAGACCTGACAAGGATTGAGCCGAAAAAACCAATGGAAGTGTCCCTTGCAAAGCATCTTGGATAACCAGGAGTGAAATGCGCATGGTGCTCTGAACAAACACTAACCAAAATAGTACCTGTATTGCGGACGAAGAAAACACTATTTCGAATTTGGCGAAACCTCAAAATTTGACATGTATCTGTATCCTTTTCGTGTGTAAATGGCTGGCATTATTTCCCTCTTCACATGGCGCACAAACATGTCATGCTCTTTTAACTATGAACCCCAACAAGTCCAACCCGATTTTTTTTATTTTGAAACGTTGGTTTGGGGAGTTGTTATGATCTGCTCAGTACACCACATATTGCACTTCAGAAGGAACGTTCAACTTGCAATACAATGAAAACACAATCTTGGGAAAAAGTTGGCCAAATTTGATCCAACTTCTGGTTGAAAGCGCAATGGGTGAAAAACAACGGCCTGGAACTACTGTGCCAAATTGCCTTCCTTTTCGCAAAAAATTGACAGCAAATGGTAAGGATTGTTTAATGATGTTGCACATGTTCATGGGTTCCATTCCACTGTTCCTCAGAGGACTGTTTCAAAACTATTTGGTTCATCTAAACAATCATGTTCGGGACACAAAACCTATGCGATTCCAACTCCATGTTTGAAAATTGTTGTGGAAACAAATTGCATGCAAAACATCCGGCAAATGTTTTTCATGACCCGGTTTCAAACTTTCAAGTGTGGGCGCGCTGAGTAATTTTTGCACACAAACACCAACGGTTTGATGTTGGGGCATCCGCATTTCCTCGCATTGCCATGGTTTATTGAAATCCTGTTGCCATTTTCAAAAACACAAACATGTCAGCTCTTGGACATAATAGTAAAAAAATGGTTTTACATTGCGAAAAGGCAGCCAGCGAATGTCTACGCCACACGGCCTCATTACATGTTTTTTTTTTGCGCCTACAATTCACGTTGGTCAGTCCTTGCATGGGTTTACATATCCAGGGTTTGCTACCGCGAGATCCTTACCGCCTTTCCTTCAACTAAATATGCGACAACCGGGTTTTGCGCATGGTCCAAATACAAATCATAAGTACAGGTTTCATTGAAAGCATCATTACAATTAGTCAACAAATAAAGTGCCCCAACTGCAGCACCAATATCGGGGAAAAGCAAAGTGAGGTCAAGTATTTTGTTGCAACCAATTATATTTTCCCGAAAGTTCTTGCGAAGGGTTCCTTCCAAAGAACGGTTGCCAATATACATGTGTTTCCAAGGCATAAACCATCATAATACCCGTGTTTCCTTCATGATCTATTCATTATCATCATGAAACCCATCATCCACACCTACACCTTTAGCATCTATACACCTTTTTTTTTGCATATGATATATAGATACAAGTGTATAGATTTAGGTGGAAATATTTACAACTCTAAATGTGTACAAGTGCAAGGGCAAAAAACTAGGTTGTTTTTTTACTCTCGGCACACCGGGGCTAGGCTGGGTCGCGCAACGCTAGCGGGCAATGGTGGTCCTACAGGGAGCGCAATGAGTCCAGCGTATTACCGGATTTAGTAGCTGGCACCGTCAACTGTGAAAGTGCCAGGTCACTTCCTTGCCGTGGCGAAGTTCTGGAACGCTTCTGATGACCCTGGCCGTTCGTCCCTGCCCCAGGTCTTCCGACCTCTCAGAGCCAGTCGCGTCCAACCTGCCTTGACCTGGGAAATGCCTGGGGAATTTTTTCGACGCAGTTTGGATCTCGTACCTTCAACTTTTCATCAATTTTCAAAAACGGGAGGGCCCTGGTGAATTGGCCTCGCTGTCCAATCAGACACGGCTTGGTTTGCGTGTTAAGTCGTCATACTCAATCGGCTCGAGCTCCTCAAAGACGCTGAAGTCCTCGTCCACCATGCCGACCGAGCCATAGTCCGTCTCCATGTCATCGTCGCTTTCCTCTTCTTTTTGTTCTTGCTCCATTTTGCATTCACCTGAAGGTCCTTCACCATGAATCGAAAGCTCCATCACCAGGTGGTACTGCACGATCACCACCAGCTTCAGCTCCAGGATCGACTTCACCCTCGATCTCTTCCATCTCAGATTCTCCACTTTCCTCCATGCCATTGTTGAACTCCTCCAGGGTCATTCTGCGGATATGCGCAACTCCATTCACTGTTGATTGCTCTTCTCCTGGAGGTTGTCCTTCTTCTTCTTCTTGAAACTCCTCATTCTCACCTCCAGACTCTTCATCGTCGTCCAACCAAACTCCAAGTCGTTGTTGCTCGTCTTCTCTAATCATTTCTCTTGACTGTCTCCACTGCGTTCTGACCCAATCCATTGCTTCTCTCGTTGCTTCGATTCGAAGGTGCATTACAAGGGAGGCCCCAACTCCGTCTCCAAAAATCATATCAGTTTCAGGTGCAAAAAACGAACCCCAAAACTAGCCTCTTGTACCTTCTTGTCTTGATTATGACAACCTTTCCCCTTCTATTATGTTGACGCAAGAGGTTGCGTGCTTCCAAAGCCTGCCATCGAGGCGCTTCGAGGCTCGGCGAGGCCTGGGCGAGGCCACGCCTCGGACGCAAAACGTATTGGCACAAGGACAAAGCGAGGCTCATGGGGACTCGAAACTATATAATACTATTGTTGAAGTCCCAGCAAGGCTGAACTTGAAGTAGTTGGTGCCTGTGCTGCCTCGCTAGAATTTTAAGCCGCAGCTGGCGCAAAGGGACGGCCTCAAGGCAAGCCTCGAGGCTTCAAGGTTATGGAAATTGCAGCAAACCCAAAAAAAAATATAGGATTGCAGCAAACCAAAAAAAAATATAGGATGAAACAAAGTTGGAGGCGGGCCTCAATGCAAGTCTTGAACTCCAGTGTCGCGAGACCATGGAAATTAGAACAAAACACGTCAGGGCAGGCTTCGAGGCAGGTCTCGAGGGCCTCAAGGCTATGGAAATTGGAGCAAAACAATATGACAAAGAAGGGGCCCTTTTTCGGACCTCAAAACGTAAGAAAAAGCAGGCGCGCAAAAATGGGCCTCCCCAGTTCAAGATTCCAGCCGCAGCTGTTGCTGGTCAAATCAGCTTCAACTTGAAATAAACGCCTCAACAAATTTGCCACAATGAAGGGGTCAAAAAGGGACCAAAACTGGACCCTCAGCAGGTTGACTCCGGTGCGTCCTTGAAGGTCCCGTTTTAAGCCCACCCATGCACCTTCTTCAGCTCCGTTCCAATGTAGAAACACATCAACCTCACACAAACCAACATCGAGTTGGCAATAAGGGCCTCGAACAGCGCGTACATAGTCTTCAGCAACGTCATTTTTTTTCCTCTGTTGCGGCCGATTTCGCTCTAAAGGCTCGGTCCTGACAGTGAGAGAAGCGGTCAAATAAATTGCAAAAGTTATGAAACGCCTTGGCTTCATAAAACGAGGCAGATCCATGGAGAAAAAAACAAACAAACAAAAACCAGGCAACACAGCGACGACACGCAAATCTCCCGGCCAGATTTGCGTTTCACCAGCAGAAAAAGCAGCAAACCAACACAAAAAAGGGGCCGGAGCCACAACCAAAAAGCCCACACCAGGATCACCAGGATTGCCTCCGACACGATAGGGGCAAGCCCAACGTGTCTCCGAAATATGCACAAAACGAATTAGCGAGTCTATGGCCCGAAACAGGGGTGAAAAGCTGTGCAACTGTGAAAAGCAGCAACAAAATTGCGAAGGTCCACTGTACACTACTTTTTTTTCCGTCCAACAGAGTCCCATGGACCCCACTCACTCCAACTCCACTCCACTCACTCCAACTCCACTCCACTCACTCCACTCACTCCACTCACTCTCACTCCACTCCCTCCACCTCCCTCCACCTCCCTCCACCTCCCTCCACTCACTCTCCCTCCACTCACTCCACTCTCAGTCACTCCACTCACTCTCCACTCCCTCCCCTCCCTCACTCCCTCTCACCTCCCTCCCCACCTCCCTCCTCCCTCCCCTCACTCTCCCTCCCCTCCCCCCCCTACTCCCCCTCCATCCCCTCACTCTCCCTCCACTCCCTCCCCCTCTCCTCCACCCTCCCTCCCCCTCCCTCACTCCTCCTCCATCCTCATCCTCCCCTCCTCCACCTTCCCTCCCTCCACTCCCACTCACTCCCATCCACTCCCTCCACCCTCCCCCACCTCTCCTACTCCATCCTCTCCCTCCACTTCACACTCCCCACCACTCACTCCACCACTCACTCCACTCACCCCACTCGCCCCACTCGCCCCACTCGCCCCACTCGCCCCACTCGCCCACTCGCCCCACTCACCCCACTCACCCCACTCACCCCACTCACACTCGCTCACTCACCCCACTGACCCTACTCATGGGCTATTTTCTTCTTGGTTTCCATCATCGTGGTTTTGGTGATCGCGGTCCGCCCTCTGTTGTGTCCGCCAATATCTTGTTGCTACTGCAACTGTCTCGGCGTCTCGCCTGTCGGTCTGTTACGTCTTTCGGCTTCTATCGTACTGTCAAGCTCTTGGCTTCCCCCTTCTAAGTCGGACCACTCCTTGTGCCATAGCGCAGCGTGTGTCGCTCATCTCCCTGTCTGTCCCCCTGTCCTGGGTGCCCCTCCTCCCTTCCGCTTCTGCTTTTCTCTTTTCTTGTTTTGTTTGTGTGGCTTCTTACTGACCGTACTGTCCCTACCGAGGCTCTGTCCCACTGCTCTACGAGATTTGCAGAAGTGTACCTTCGCATCTTTTTTTTTTCCTCGAGTGTGGCCGATGTCGCGCTAAAGGCTCGGTCCTTACATGAGCATAAGCAAGATAGGCTTTTGTACAAGGACACATCATGTCCATTGTGCAGGCAAATCGATAAGAAAAATACACAAACACCAGAACCAACCAAACACGACGACCCGCAAATCCCCCAGCCAGACTTGCGTTTCGCCAGAGGACACAGCGAAGCAAACAGCAAAACACCAAACCAACAAAAACGGGGCCAGAGCCCAAACAAAACACCCACAAGATCGATTTGCCATGGGACGCAGTGGCTTGTCCACTGCATCACTCTCAAAAACGTGCCAATGAATTAGAGTGTACTTTCGCATCTATTGGATATGTTGGTGCTCTTGGGCAGCCTACTGGCGAGACCTGCAGGAATCAGGCCACGAGTTGGTAACCAGAGCCTCGAACAAGGGAGGTCCCCACGTGGGGTGCGGGGGGAACGTGTCCAAATTTCAGAAATGTGGCGGACAAGGTTCCAGTCTAACCACTTCGGATGGAATAACAGCGCGGTCAATTTCTGTTATTTTGCGTCTAAAAAATAGATGGAGAAAAACTAGGGTGCAAAGGTGCAACTTTCGAAGTGTGAATAAGAAACTATACAGGTTCTGTTTCCTACCGAAAAAGTTGCACCTTTGCACCCTTCAAACTTTGGCACCAGGAAGAACCAGGGACAAGGACCTAATGGCCAAGGTAGTACGCTAGGAATGAACTCACTGTAGGACCAGTAGGGTCGCCGACGATGAACAGAATGGAAGGAGGAGGTGAGCAGGGCGTAGAAAGAAACACAGGTGTTGCAGGTAATTCGCCAACAGGTGCCGCGATGCAAGCATGCAGCGGTAGGTAACGCGATGACAACATCGGCTCCGCTTAGTTGGACAAGCTGGAAGCTTAGTTGGACTGGACAGATGTTACCTCCTGCATGGAATACTTTTGGAACATATGGACCGATGTGTGAAAAACGCAAACCCAAGTACACCTCTCGTGTACCCAAATCAACGCTTTCGTAAAAATCACTACACCAGACGCAAACACCTACTGTGGTTGCGGCTCCGCAGTTACTTACTTCTCTGCAATGTCAAATAAAGGAACTTGTTCCACCCTGACTCCTAAGTGCACGTCAGACTCCCCCTTTTCTCTCCAGACGCCACACACAACGGAACAGGTCAACAAGAACCAGGGCAGGCACACGGCCACAGCCCACAAACAAAGAAAGGAAGCAAGAAGTTCCAGTGTGGCTACTGTTTCAAGTGCCCTAGGTGACACTGCAGTTCAGTTCTCTTCGGAACACTTGACACCACTCCCTTGAGCCGATGTCTCAACTGGGAAACTCGATTCCAGGTTTCCAATACACAACCTTCCTTCAAAGGTTGTTGAAACAATTCCAAACTGCTATGATATACAAATCACCTAGTCACAAAAACGTCAGAAACATTTCCAAAAGTTCTCAAGTCAAACTGGTTCTCGTCCAAACGCAAGTAACCAGCTAGCCGGTGTTACTAGTCTCTACCAAACGTCTAGACTAGTCACACGGCTAGTCAAGAACGAAATGATTCACTCAAATTCCTTTACAAAATCCTCTTGCAATACAGAACAACATGGGAACCTCATGTTCCATCTCCAAAACAGTTCTTCGCACAGAGACATCTTCTCATAGCTCCAAACTACCGTGGAGAATAAAATGTTCTGCTTGACTTCTCAGCTAATATCCAGTCATCAGCAGTCATAGCGCTAAAGTAGTTCGCTCACCACAATAACCAAACGTCAGCAATAAGTCACAAAGACAAAGGTCACGAAGCAGACTTCCAGATCAAATACCCAGAGGTTGACTACTATACGTAGGCATTGTCTTCTCAATGCCAAAGTATCAGACTTCCAGATCAAATACCTAGATGTCGAATACTATACGTAGGCATTGTCCTCACAATGCCGAAGTATCTCACATACTCGCAAGAAGCAATCAAATAGGCTTCACCAACATCTCAGATGTACGAAGCAATGACAAGAATCGAAACGGATGATCCAAAATCATCTCAGCTAGACCCATACTCCTCCAAGAGGTCAAAGAACTTCCGAGATCGATGGAATCATATCATCCCGACTCAACTGTATAGCGAATGCTTCTGAAAGCATTCGTCCACTGTCATAAAGCAAAATAACGCTTCAAACTGTATTCAAAGGAGAATCAAGCTCCAAGTAGATCCACTTAGACTCACTGGTCGATGTCTCAGATCAGCTCATGCAGCTTCTCATACCACGAAGCAATATTGAAACTACTTATGTCTGATGCAGACACCTTCCCATAGTCCATTTTCACCACTGAAGGCTCAAATGAAAGTCAGGTCGCTCCAATGCCAAGTTGCACCCACAAGGGTTCAAACTTCCACACCCCCTTTCGACATGACATTCATTGCTCTCTCTATACATACTCAGATGCATATCCAGTATGAACTTCGCCATACCTTCAAGGTCAAACTCATAGAATACGTCGTATTCGCCAGGAGACTTCGATGCTCCAAGCACCTCAACCGGA